ATGCTTTTATCTGATGAGACAGCAGGTTCTTTTGCAGAAGGATCTCTTACATCTGGCTTTTGTTCCGCTGAAGATCGTGACGGATTCTTTGTTTCTGGAACAGATGAATAAGCTCCTGGTTTTTCTTCTGCTTTTGGCGCATGAGAACTTGCACTTGCCGTTGGTTTCTCCCCTTCTTCGGCAAACTGGTGAGCAATTTCTTCCCTTTCATTACGAGGTTTTGATGCACCTTCGCTTCTTCCTGGAGTAGACAACCGCTCTTGTCCTCTTCCTCTTCCTCGTCCGCCGCCAGAACCTCGACCCTTAGATTTTCGTTTATTTTTGCCTTTCCCGTGACCTGGAGAAGACATTTTATCATATAATTTTTAACTTTGCTTAGACATTATCATAAACATTTAACCCTTTCATTTCTTCGTATCGAAGACGATAAAATACTTACATGCCTGATCTTGTCGGGGAAATTACCTGTAGGGGAATCACGTAGCCAACAGAATTCTCCAGTGTTCAACCAATAAAAATCATCTCTCGAATTCTTAGAAAGGAAAAATTCATTTCCGCTTCTTTTCCAAGTAAGACGAAACTGTTAAAGGAAAGTGTTTGTGGCGAAGAAAAGAAATTTAAAAAACGGTAAAATCTCTGGTTGGACTCCAATAGGCCGCCATGAGAAATGCGTGGAAAGGCTCGTAGTCGTATTCTTGGTGGGGTGGTCAGTAGTCTGCTACACAGCCGTTTTTAGTGTCGTCAGTATTAGTGGGGAGGAGTGTTGCGTGACGATACTAAAAACGGCTGTGTAGCAGACTATGTGGTCAGTAGCACTTTTCTTGAACTGAAAGCAAGTAATTCATATATGGTAATCATAATGTGCCAATATTGTTCACTTTGGTAGCGGGGTTTTACGTCTGGATCAAAAATAAATCGACGTCTATTTTCTATGTCGTCTTGTGTGCACGTTATGGCTCAGTCAATTCCAAGCGTGCTCATCCCCCCTGGGGATTTGTCGAGCATTTGTGGGGCCGGGCGGTTCATTAAAAAAGCACACGCAGGGGCTTTTAAAAGTGTGCAAATGCCCCACCCCGAGACAATACCAAAATTTCATTTTCCTGCAAATAAGCTGCAAATGCCAAATTTATTGGAATCTGTAAAAATCTGAAATCGCTTCTAGCCGCTAGTTATAATGCAAAAAAGATCACATCCATCTGAATAATATCAATGACAGATTTATAAACTAGAATTTTAATAATACCTTTCTTATTTTCAAAGGTTTTTAAAAATAGTGAGCCGCCGAGCTAAACAGAGTATTTTCACATCACGATGGAACTGTTCCGTCCACGTATCAATCGTCGCATTGATCCCACAAAACACGAAGTTTTGGCTCTGACCTTCAAATATCTCGCAGAGTTTTTCTAGGCCTGCGTGCGGTGAACCGGTGATCACGATGCTCGGATCATGGTAGATCAAATGAACCGATGAATCCACTCTGGACAAGGATTCATCGGTTCATTTGATCAACCATGAT